ACGCCCCCACGGCTGAAAGGGCGAGCATGTTTGGTGTGACAAGGATTCGAACCCGCGACCCTCTGATTGCGAGTCGAGTGCCTTCACCACCTGGCCATGCCGGGCCCCATACTACAGTATTTCATTATTACCTTGAAAAATTAATTAATTAAGTTGTACATGTAGTAGCTTTGAAAAGTTCACGGTATTCTGTAAAATTAGTAATTCCATAATTGGTATCAATAGGACTGTTGAATTTACCACAAAATTGGTGTTCAAAATGCAGTAGAAGAAACATAGTTAGTGAAAACTGAATATGAATTTATGAGCTCTGCCAACAAAATTTCATAATATTGAACAAATTATTTTGACAGTTGTAGTTCAGTTAAACTCTCATCAGCAATGCAGATGAGGTGTTGTTAATGATTCATTTTATAACTAACCCGTAAAGTGAAGTGTACAAATTAATAGTTTTGTTGCACTTTTAACCATAAAAAATATCATTACAATTTACTTCTGATTTTGTAAAGAATTTCTTTAAACACTAGATGGTATGGTCTAAGTGACAACACTACATAAATCTCGAAGAAAGCAGTAAAAATAAAGTTAAAATGTCATCATATAAAAACAATTATGTGCATAAAATTTCTCTACTTTTGAGCAAACCACAAGGTATAGATGATTAATGTCTGAAATGTTGCCATATATAATATTTTAATGATAGTTTCAACTAGAAAACACTTTTCTCTTTTATAAAGAATAAAAACGTTTTGGTAGCTACAAGTTACTCACATCTTTCACAAATTTAGTTATTGCCACAGCTATAGGGTGTTCGCTGTTTGTCTCAGCTGTACCAACCAAAGCAAGCAATTTTGGTAAAGGGCATACTTTTTCTTCCACAAATATACAAATACGTGTCATCACAGGCACACCATTAGTGATTGTCCCAGTTTTGTCAAAAACTACACTTTTCACCTGTACAAGAAAAAAAATTCAAGTTTAAAAGTACATAATCACAAGGCCTTAAAAGTAATTAATTCTAAAATTGGAGTTAGGATCATTGATGTTGCAACTTGCTGCCAAGTTTAGTGCTTTGAAAATATATAATTGTTATGTTCAATGTATGTTAATCATTAAATAAATACTTTAACCTTGGTGAATTATGCATTCAAACAACTGTTTATAACTTCTTAATTACAATGATTATCAAAATAATATTATATAGCAGTGGCTCAGTTGACTATAAACTCAGCTGCTTAATTATGATTAGCTTAAAAATTAAAACAGGAAAAATAATTATATAATGTCCTCTTTTTCTTAGTTTAAGGAATAAAACTGCAAGAAAAGACCACAATGAGATTGCCTGAAACCAGGTAAGTCATGTAAGTTTACAAATCTTAAGAAAATATTATTTTTCAATTTTTAAATAAATATATTCTCATTGCAAGGTAAAAAAATTATATATGTAAAAGTATACCTTGTGCAACACTTCTAGTGGCTCAGCACCTTTGATAAGAATACCATTTAGAGCACCCACTCCAGTTCCCACCATCACTGCCGTGGGTGTGGCCAGGCCTAGAGAGCATGGGCAAGCTATAGATAACACTGTAAGAGCACACTGGAAAGCAAACTGGAAGATAATTTCAGAATCTGTCATTTGTGTGTGCTGAAAAAACAAAAGAAAACCATGTTACTTATCTCAAAAATCTAGAGGAAAAATGAATAGGTGTACATTTATACAGAAATGGTTATACAAGAGCAGTGTATGAAACCAAGTTAAATTTAGAGCTAACAATACAGAAGCACGTGCACTCATGTTATCGTATCCAATAATATAAAACTGACCTTTAGTATTTACAAAGTAACTTGTCTTGGCTGTGTTTTATTTGTAAAATATAGTCACATTTCAATTATTATACATTATAGATGTATATAGATTATTGTTGTTTAGAAATAAGTTATTAAACTTCTTTTGCTTAAAACATAAAACAGTAAATAAAGAAGTAAAGCAAACAATTATCTCTTCTAGTTACGATCTTTGTACTCGGTTGCTGCTTGTCGTAGCTTGGTAAGCCTCAAGACATTTCACACATGGAGGATGTGAAACAAAATAATTTTTCTAAGGTTTTATACATATATACATTTGAATAACCAAAAATTATAAATTACTATATCCATACCATAGAATTCCATTATAATTTATCAAGTTTCGTACCTAAGCTGTATTTGGTTCTAAAAAATATGAAATTTCGAAAAGGCTAAAACTCAACTTACCAGCAAGAAGGTTTGTCTCAAAAGAAAGAGATGATGTCATTATATTTGAAAATGGCTGTAAAAGCTACTAGGGGGACATTCTGAGCTTTCGATTGGTTATTCTCATGTCATATACAGAAGCAAGTGTATATAAGGGACCATTTTCAAAAATGGAAAGAAGTGAGTGGGGCCACTGTGTTTGATTTAGTACATGAGCGATATCTCAGCAAATAGAAGAGATAAGAGGTTCTTATTTTATATCCTAGCTTGTCAATATTGGTAATTTAAGTTCCTAATTTGTACAAAACTATAGACTTTATATTTTGACATCACAAACATCTAATCTGAATAAGTGCTACATTCATCATACCACATGGCACACAAAAATCAATGTTCAGGTGTATTTTTTTTAAACATTTACTTTTAAATTAAAAAATTAAATAATATATAATATGAAAATTTGAATTATAATCTACAGTTTGATACCAAACTTAATGACATAAGTTCATAAAATAGTAGTTCAATAAAATTTTGAATCCGAGTCAACAAACACAATGACATGGCCTTTGACCTGTGACCCATCTGGAAAAGGTTAAGAGGCACATGATGATAGTCATATTTTCCAATTTAAGTGCTTCCTATCTAGCTAGATCTTTTTTTCTTTTTGAGAGAATAAATAATGAATATCAACTTGCAACTTTTTTTTTATTAAGGCAAACTTACTCAAAGCAACACTAGTTACATTTGTAGCTCATAAAAAGTAAAGACTGTATTAAGTTAACGCCCACAAGACCATGTCCTCAGAATCATGAAATGTGTACATACTATCATAGCAAAGTGGCACCATCAGAAGTATTACTAGCTAATGTGCCGTGTGTGAATTCAGTTGGTGTGTATCTGAACCTGAACAAGGTTGTTTGAGTTATGCCAAAGCTACTAATGGCATTATAATGTTAATCCTACTTGTTGGTGGATACTAGCCCAATAGTTGGCGGTAGGTGCTGCTGGTCAGTTGTCTTTAAAATTAGGGTCAGTGTCAGATAGCCTTAGTAGCTTTGCCATAACTCAAAAAGAAATAAATAAATTTAATTCCTTCCTCGTTGAAAGGAAGAGAATAATTAGTTGGAAACTAATGGTCAGTCCATTCTGACTCAAAGTTGACAAAAACTTGAATTAATTGAAATATAATAATGAGAAATCATAATGGGAATATTCTGATTACTTTCATAGTTGAAGTGATTGAAAATTAAAATAATCAGAAACACCAATTTTGATTAGTTGATTATTTTCATGGCATTAATCATAATTTTTATTAACTGATAGTTTTACATAACACTAACCAATTACACTGATTAATCACCAGCCCTATCCATTGTGCACGTTCAAATGACATATTCTTAGTTACTAAAAACATGCAACAGCAATGCCTTTTAGGTCCTCTTGAACATAACCTACAATGTCTACAACATATATTAATGGATACACTGGGCCCAAGACCACAGCGTGTATAATTTGCACATGACCACACAATCATAGACTAGCTGCATAATAACAGTCTGAGTTTCTATATTCAGTAAAGTTAAATCTAGGTCAGCGTTACTAGATTTACAACTTTTTATTTAATTATGACTTTAACAGTTTGAAAGTGTTTGTTATTTCATATACAAAAAAAGTGTTAAATTTCATTAAATAAATCTTATATTTTTTATGTTATTGTTTTAAGCTGTTTTTACTTTAGGTAAGGATTACATAATTTTGAATTTTGCTGCATAATCAATACATAATTTTTACTTTTTTTATTCACAATTATTGCATATTCAGTAATTTTATGTTACTTCATTTCAAACTGTTGGCTGCATAATATAATTTTTTTTGCCATATAAAAATTGGGGCCCTGAGTATATGATAATGTTTGTGTCAATGTTTTTATTATAACAACCATAACAGTTGAATATCATAAACAAGACATTTTTTTCAAATCAAAAACACACTGCTATCGAAAGAATATAATTAACAATAACACAAATTATTTAGTGGTCAAGAGTAAATAAAATCTACTATAAATTTTAGTGGCATTAAAATCAAGCATGAAAAGATCGTTAGTGCTTTATACTTAATACGAAACTAAAGGATAAACAGAAAGGTATGATAAACTTACATCTTTTTTGTGAAATTTTCTGATGATTTCTACACTGTTATACCCAACAATAACCCACGACAACAGCGTGAAAACAGCCACTGCCACCACAGATGGTACAAAGTAACCAGCTATCTTGTCTGCCAATTGCTGAATTGGAGCCTTAAAAAAAAATATATATAAAGGTTTGAAAAATTTTGGAAACATTTTTTAAAAATCATATTGGGAAAACTGATCAATACAGACACACACAGTTTGTTGCATGTGAAAGAAAAATGTTTAAGTATATTGAAGCACTGATAGATGTTATTAATGTGTTACTTCTGAAGGATGGTGCTCCTTCAGACTGGAGCCTTAGCATTTGCAACATATGTGATGAAA